GCAGCGCTGAGTTTTAACTACCAAAGGAGAAGCATCTGGTTCCCTTAGGGAGCAGTTCAACTGGTAGTGATTGCTACCATGTTTAAATGCTGCTGGCCAAACAAAAGTTGGTGGTGGATCATCAGTCTCAAGTGGGCAATAACTGAGCTGGTAAATTGTAGATTGCTAACTAACTTTTTTTTTTTGGGGGGGGGGAGGTAATATTTGACTAATCTCTGAAGTTTTTTTTTTTTTCCCCAAGAGGTTGTGTTTTCTGTGCATGAATGCTGTTTTTAGTACTGTGTAAGGAAAGGTCAGCACCAGTTTTTGGCCTAGTGTGACACTCAGCTTGGGGTGATAAGTGAGGAGGTCTGTATTTTCCTCTTTCTTAGGGCTTCTTTATTTTCCAGTGCTCTAGCTCCACTTATAATGGCTGGTTGCACTAGACTGAGTTAGATCATACAGAACTGATCAAGAGCTCTGTTTAAAAAAAAAACTTATAACAACTTACCGTCTGTAAGGCCTCCTTGAACTACTTACTGAGATACGAAACCCATTCTTTCTTCTTGTGCCTTTGTTCAGTTGTTAATCTAAGCCAACGTGCCCAACTTGATATCTGACAGATGATTAAAGACTCTGGATGTTCAGATCAGCTTCACTTTTACTTCCCACCACTTGCATTCATCTGGGAGCCTTCTCCTGCTGGCATCTGATATCCTGCCTCCCGTATTTCAGGCTATCCCTGTTCCATCTTTCCTATATATCCCTCCTGTCCTTCCCACCTTCTGCTGACCATCCCTGGACTGGGAAAGGGAATAGGTGTGCAGTGCAAGGCTGTAGCTCATTGGGCTGCTGGCAGACCTGATGGCATATCCATCACAGTGTGCTGCAGAACATTGCTTGGCCTCCAGCAGAAGAACCACGTGCCAACCATGAGGTGGTTCCCAGCAGCCGACCATGCCATCTGCGTGCGTGTATTCGCTTTCCAGTTGTCAGCTGCCTAGCTGTCACAYGTGTGCTAGCCTCACCATACACCCTCCTCTTCCCCAAGCTTAGTCAGGCTCCTCACACTGACTTATTAGCTGCCAGCCAGCCTCCCAAATTGTGCTGTGAGCCATATATTGCACAGCCCTAATTTATATCAGCACTGTGTCTGAGCAGCATATTTATGTAACCTGTATTAGCTGTGGGTGGCAGTTGGCCTCTCTGGCAGAAAGAGTTATGGGTCTACGGCTGTCTTTATGCATAAAATTTCACAGAATCACAGAATGGTTGAGGATGGGGATGAAATTTCCTGTGTTTCAATTTATGCCCATTACTCCTTGTTCTGTTGCTGGCCACCACCAAGAAGAGTTTGACCCCATCCTCTTTACATTCTCCCCTCAGGTATTTGTACATGTTGCTAAGATCCCCTCTCAATCTTCTCAAGACTAAACAGGCCCAGCTTGCTTAGCCTTTCCTCATACAATAGATGCTCCAGGTCTTTAATCATCTTTGTTGCTCTCTGCTGGACCCTCTCTAGAAGCTCCACATCCCTCTTATACTGGAGAGCCCAGAACTGCACGCAATATTCCAGGTGCAGCCTCACCAGAGCTGAGCAGAGAGGCAGCATCCCCTCCCTCGACCTGCTGGCAACATCCTCCTGATGCAGCCAGGGTCCCATTGGCCTTCTTGGCCACGAGGGCACACTGCTGACTCATGGTTAACTTGGTGTCAACCAGACTCCCAACTTCTTGTTCTTCCTATTAACATAGGACCTGCAGAGCTTCGGAGACAACAGGAGGAGGCAGAGCTCACTTGGTGCTTGTATTATATCTCARATTTGTGATATGATGGATTTCAGGCTCCAGGTCTATGGTCCAGCACATACAGCACATAGATATCTGTGAACAGAAGGCTTTGTCGTTGGAATTAACGCCTGTGAAATATTTGCTGACTTCAGACATGCAAAATGCCTGATGCTGTGTCAAGTGAGTGCTAATGGGGGTAAGACAGTGACCTCACACTGTCCTCACAGCTGCTAGTGTGACAATGTGATCATCTCTTCTGACATAGCATTATCACCCTTTTATTAGGATGCCAGCCACAATATCAACATCAAGCAAAAGTTTTACCTTTTCATAGTGAGGCACGAGCAAAAATATTTTAACTAGGGTTTTTGTGTGTCTTTAATCTGGTGTTTCTGCCTTTCCAAAAACAACCAAAAGCCGAGAATTTATTCATTTGAATTCAGTTATTGGTTCAGCAAGAATTTTTATGTTTTGCCACATTTCAACCTCTCATACTCCCTGGTATCTCTCATTAGACCAGAAAGGCTTTGTTGTACCCGCCTCTAAAGATCAGTTCAAGACCATGGAGATTTCAGTCAGGTTTTTATTTCAAAGACTTTTGCTTCTAAACATCCTTTTCCATTTATTTTTTTTCCACCTGTTTCTGGATTTGCAAACATGTCAAAAGAAAACACATGAACTCTGGATCATCAACTTTTGGATTATCCCACCTTTCTGATGAGCATGAAAACAACATGAAGTCAACTAAGTTCCTAGGTGATTTAATTATTGAAGACACAATACTGAAAGGGCTGTGTCTTCATCATGCTTCATTTTAGGTCATGCTATCAAATGTTTCTGCCCTTTACCTCGCTGTTCAGGCTTTTACCACTTGAGTGTTTTCTCTACAGGTCCACTGAAAACAGGCATCCTTCTGAATATCTGCCACTGTTTTATTAAAATATATCYTTGAAGAATAAAAGAGTCTATCTGAATTAGATCTGAGACCACTTAGAGTAGACATCTTTATTCCCAGTTTCTTAACTCAGAACAGAGTTTGAGACCTGCCTGTTTGTAGTTCTTCACAAGGCACCTAAAGGCTTAGGCCTACAGATACAGGAGCTGTGCTAGAATACCTGGAGCTTACAATCTTCTTCGGATCTGTCTCTGTAATTTTAAAATGCCGTAGTGTATTCTCTGTAATTTTAAAATGACGTAGCTTACGTAGTGGCTGTTGTACCTAGTGGCTTGCTGTGTGTTTTTGCAGTGGTATTGAATTCCTCCCATCATTGGGTTCGTCCGGCAATCAAAATACTTTTAACAAAGAAAAACGTGCAGAAATGTTGAATTCCTGTTTTCCAATTGCCAGACTTCCTGAACCAGGAGGACAAGGAGGGAATATGAAAGAGCTGGCAATTTTTCTTGTCTTTTTATTGAATTGGATACTTAAATGTTTTGAACAAATTCAAAGCAAAATAAATTGCTGTACTTCTGGACTCCCTAAAACCACTTCACAGTAACAAGAACTCAACGGTTCTTAAAGGAGGAACTGTGAATCAGGGAACAAGAACACTAGTTATTTCAGCCAGCTGTCCTCCTGCTTTTATTTTTGTTTCATTCTTCTTATTTCTCTTCTTGCTAATCACACTTCTGAAGTATGTGAAGTTAATGCTTTTAATCTTGCTGAATTCAAAATAAATTTTTTTTTTATTTCTTCACATTATTTTCACTTACCAAAAAAGTTTTTATGCCCTTTTCTCATCAGAACAGAAAACTATAAAATTTTGAGTCTCAAACTGCATGTCTTGAAGGTGCAGTCCTCCTAACGTATACCTTCCTAGAGAGAAGATGAGCATCCAAACAAAGATGATTTGCTTGGATCATATGTGATCCAAGTGTTAGAAGTTCTGATTATTTTAAACTTGAGAGTACGAGCTGATTAGATTTTCCAGCAGAATATTTTTCTATCAGAAAGTGTTGAATTGTTTGGGAAGAAAAGCTAAAAGACATCTTTCCACCTTTCTGGACCATAAGTTTATGTGGAAAAAGGACAGACAGGAAATTGAGAAAAAGCTCAGATAATTAAAACAAGTTAACAGAACACAGTAGTTAATAGAATAAGAGGTTGGGAATTTGAAGCTAGGCATCCTCAGTCGCTCTGTGACTCTCTTACAGTTCAGTATTTGAGTTGCATCAGAAAGTGAAAATATGCAGGGCCATTCCAGTGTCTCCCTTCTCTCAGGCAGTGTTGTTTCTGAACTGTGCATGGAGGGCAAATGGGAAAATATGAGAATTTCTGAGCATACAGGCAGATGTGTTGCCACATGCAATTTTGGATAGTTTGAGATGGCACTATTGCCTTTTCACCYAAGCTGCCATATGTTACTTTGGGCTGAAATGGATTATGAGAGGTTGCAGCCCAGTTACTGTAAGTTGTAAAGAGGCAGTAAATCCAGCTGCTGGGGCAGTAACAACCCAAAATATTCAAGCTTCATTGCAGGAATACTTTTGACTATCATATATGACATATGACTAAGTCAGGAGTTGTTTAAAGAATGAGAGTTGGATTGTTATCTTGTGTTGGTTAGCCCATATTAGCAGGGTGGAGTTTATAAAATTACACAATAGATCCATATATATATATATATATATTTTTTTTTTCCTAGTTCGCATTTAAAACCAAAACATTTGTTTCCAGTATGGAAAACATTCTAGCATTTCTTGTTCTTTATATTTTTGCTGCACTGAAGCATTGCGTGTGTAGATTTGTGGTTGGAAGGAGAGGTGTATGTTGAACGGTGTAAGTGAAGTCCTGGTTAGACCAGACAGAGATACAAAGTTAGTCCTTTACAAAGCAATTCTGCTTTGAATTTTAAAACTTTCTAAAGGTCTTTATTATTTTATCATATTCTAACCATTTCCTAATTTAGCAGGCTTTTAAATCATTTATGCCTCTACTTTCTAAATTTGAGATTTTCGTGGTCTATTTAAACTACAAGTGAAAAAGTGCAAGGTTTGCTGTAAATTGTAACATTTTCTTCCCCTAAGATCTGTATGTTGATACAAGTATGTGGTCAATCCCTGTATGGACCATTTAATTGAAGTTTATAAACTTGTGCTAGATTCTATATGAATGGTGTCACCTAAAGCCCATTAGTTTTGCAGTTTATTACAGTTTATGCTTTGATTAAATTAGTATTTTTTTCCATTCATTTTTCAGTTAACCCATTTTGTTAATTTAATCTGTTCTAGGGTGAAGTCGTGGAATTCCTTGATGAGCTCTTAGAAGTGGAGGAAAAGAATGAATCCTGATGAGCGAAGATATCATGAAGTATTTCACAAAAGTGCTCCCTACTCTTGGTTTTGGTCACCTGTAGTTTCAGTTAGATATACCTCAAAGCTGCTCCTTTAGGTGCCATCGTGTGTCACAAGATCCACCCCTGAAAGATCACTGCCGTACTGCACTGACTCTTTCAGGAACGTGGCTCTTCACTGTGTGTTTTCAGAATTTATGCACATGGGTTTTCATCTTGAACTTTCCTCCCTCACACAAACACAACTGAACAGACTATTGATATTTTCCAGGCTAACAACTAAGATTCCTCATTTCAATGCTATTCTACTAAGTTACAACAGTGCAGCTAATTCTGAAGAACTTTCATCAGAGGATGAACTGAGGAAGATATAACAGTTCCTCTAGACTTTCTAAGCTTTGTAAGTGCATTATTTATGTATGACTTTTTTTTTTCTATGATAAAGTGTAACAAATAAGAATTTTATATAGTTTAAAAAAAAAAGATGATTCACATAGCACAACTAGTGATCTCAAAATTGCTTTGATAATTCTGTATGCAGTTTTGATCTTCCATAAAGACTGTATAAAATTCCATGATGTGAAACTGAGGTCACCTAGAAATGATGCAATAAATAAATATTTCTCCCTCCTTCCAATTCTTACTCTGTCTGCAGAAACAATTTGTGGTTCCTATGTGAGGTGGGGCAAATCATCTGTAAAAAAATGATGGCTGATGTATTTATTATTCTGTCTGGTGGGACAATCTGCATAGTTTTCATCCCCAGAATAAATTTAGCTGGGAAATCTGAAACAATTCTAAGTGGAATAATGAAAAAAAAATCCTTCCAGTTCCTGACATTTTTATTGATTACAGGGCCCTATACAGAAATATTTCGATCCCAAAGGCAGTGCATTAGAGATGAACAGGGAATGAATACACAAGGGTACTGAAAAGCAGGAAACCCATGGACCTCAGAGGATCCACAATTTCATCTTCTGCTTTGCTATCTTTCCTGCCTAAGAACCAAGCCCTACAAGTGTCTTCATTCTGCTTACATCAAGGGGGGACAAAAATATTCAGAGCCTTTTTCTTTGTTCACTATGTGCACAAAGTGCCTAGGTCTGCCAAGCACAGGCTGTTTTCTGACTGTTATTTTCAGTGGTACCCGAACTGTTGTGTGGTGCCTGTAGTGCACAAACAAGGTGCCTTTAAGACTCTTAGACTCTTACAGTGTTATTTATAATGCAAGCTATTGGGCCTGATAGTTTCTGCAACTATACCTCTTGCATGGAAATACTGGGTATGCGTAAAGCTTCTAACTAGGTATGGCCTCTTCATAAAGCAAGTGGAATATGCTGCTGTATATGCAAGACAACAGAAAACCAATTCCAGGATGCCATTCACAGTTATTTCTKTCCAGTTAAATGATTCCCTTCCCTTCTTTCCAGTGCTAATTTACAGTAACAGAGACTGCTATATATATATTTTAAATAAAACATTGTAATAATTTCACAGCACTGGAAGACACTGATTAGAGTTAAGGTGTTTTGTGACTCATTTGACTTCAATGGAGTTACACCAGGGATACATTTAGGGCCTATAAATCCTTATTTTCCCTGTTGATCAAACAGTTGTTTAACTATTGCAAGCCTCTTGGGCATTATCAGCTTTCATGTAAGTTTGTGATTCTATCCTTAAGACTTCCTTAAATTTTATCTTCTTATGTTCAGTCATTTTCTCAGCTCTCAGCTGTACAGCTAAAATCTCCTGCCATCGTGCATTCTCAGGTGGGCATTCATGACTTACTATGATTTCCATTAGACAGTGATGTATTTTTTATTAAGCCTACATTAGGCTTGATATCCTCTATGGTTCCTTTGAACTTGAGGAAGCAACTGATATTTTTGTGGCATTCTGAAATGGCATTATGATCCCTTTTTCATTTTGTTCAAGTGTCTGTGGATTKCTTCTGGCTTTCTTAATTTCCACTACATATGGTCCCAAACCAGTTCAGTCTTAATAAGTACAAGTAGTTCTCAAACCCTTGTTCTTTTATAGTGAGAAACAGCTCCTCTTCCAGTTCTTCATAGTTCTTCAGTATTTATTGTGGCTTTTTTCAGCATTCTCAGGTTCTTTCAACTGATTTTTCTTTTGCTGCTGCTATTGTTAAATGCCAACACTTACATGTGACTGCAGTAAATTGTTTTTTCTTCCTTTTCTCTGATCCTGCCAGCTCTTCTTGGGAGGCTGCAGGAATATGGTTCTTGCTTCCCTTCTGCCACCCCAAATTCCTCCCAATTTTGAGTCGTCTGCCTTAACTGTAGCAGTTTCTGCCTCACTGAATAGGGTATTTAGATTTTATCGTCTCCTTTATTTAGACAAGGCTTATTGTACCACCATGATCCTCAGGGAAGTTTTATCTTGTKGAAGCCACTGTGTTCGTGTGATTCACATGTAGCATTTGTGCTATTTGTCTGCTGGCTCCAGGTTGGCCCTGGAGGTGAAATTCATATCGACTTCATTGGTAGCATTGCCTGTTGTGGAGCTGCCCCATTATGTTTTTGAGCTGCTGCTCGAATTTCTGCTGGCTRTTTGCATAGCTGCTGTTGACCTCTCTTGTCTTCCTCAGCTGCCTGCAAGAAAGTTTGCTCTGCCATGTAGTAGGCAACAAATAAAAATTCAGTCAGCGTTTCCAGGTGAACACTGCGTTAAGTTCATCTTCTGGTCGATGGCTAGCACAAGGTCCCAGCACAATTTGAGTCCTGCATTTGATCTTTTGTTGGATGGAGTCCTGCATGATGAGGAATTTCTTGAAAGCCTAAGATTAAACTGAGTCACAAATGCTGGTGTACTCAGGCTGGTTCCAAGTGCATATTTGGTTATGTGAAAAACAAGACTGCTGACTGTCAGAAGAATCTTTCTTATGTAAGAARCAATGTTTGGGCAGGAAAAGAAAACTGCAGGTTGGAAATGAGTACATTTGACAGACTGTGCTGAGCATGTGATCTTTTTCAAATTAATATCTGCTCTTACTGCTAGCAGTTCTTCACATATTAATGCCTTTTGCTATTTCATCCTCAATATCAATATGCATTTGAAAAAGGAAGAAGGAAGTACTTGTTCTCTTGGTTAGTTGTTGGTTAGCTTGTTGGTTAGTTTAATTCCATCCTCATAAAAGAGAGAGACTCCATACTGCTGTGTCTCAGTGATTCCAATAGCCAACAAAGTCAGTTTTGAACAACAAATACTTTTAGAATGATCAGTTCTGGCAAATTAACAGGAAATCAAATGTCATGCCGACTTCCTTCATTCACAGTAATGATTCTCAGTTAATTCTGTTGACAATGCATCAGCCAACAGAGAATTGAAGTTGCTCCTTTTTCCAGAGTTTTACTGCTTTGGAATGCTAAAATATAAACTTAAAAGTTAGTCGGATGCTGTTCTGAATTGAATTGGAAAGCCTGTCTGACCAAGGGGCTGTCATTTTTTCATACTTTCCAGAATAAGTTCTAGATAAAATTAAAGGGATGTCTCTTCAAGATCATCTCAAGACAACCCGTGCTTCTTTAAAATGGTATAGCATGTCATGTTTTACAAAGCTTCTTCTTAATACATTGTTGCAATTAATGCCCACTGTGTATTTCCACGTTCATTACAGTTAATTATTGGATGATATTGACTGCGAAGACAGACTTAGAAAACTAATTTTGCAGAAAGTCTTCATTAAAAATGGTTTAAATTGCATGCAAATTTTACAGCTCTGAAAACTGAGTTGTGATTAGACAAAGATTTGTTGGATTATAAAAGTACAAGTGTTTATTATGGCTAGTACTGAGAATAAACAGTTGCCTGCATATGCCAGCTACTATGGAAATATGTTTTTAAGTTCTAATGTGAGCTGTAAACCAAAGCTACTTCAGTTAAAAAAATTCAATACTTAAACTGTGGGGAGAAGTAGCTGGTGCCAGAGAAAACATTCCCATTTAATAATGTTTGAACATAGAGCTGTGATGCAGTTTGTAGCAAGGCAGTGAGAAAAACCCACAACTAATCCTTCATTGCAGCTGTCTGAACTCTTGGTTGTCTGCCATACTTTAAACAGCGACTTCTTTTTTTCTGGTGACTCAAGACTTGAATGACCTAGTGTGGAGAGTTTAAGCTATATACAAAAAAGAAGCTGGGCAAGAAATAGCCAAAGTAAGTTGGGTTGCACACCCCAGCAAATCAGGGTTTTGTATCTTAAGCTCTCCTCAGTGCTTCGAAAAAAAATATAAAATAAATAGATGCCTTTTTATTTATTTATTTTTGGCAAGGAAATATTCAGTGGTTTAGACACCCATTTCTACTCTCTCTCTGCTTGTCTTTCCTTAGAGTACTGGTGGTAGATGGAAACTAAATTCTGTAGAGAGTTCTGAATTTTTCAAGCTTATAAATGCTAACCTTTTTTTGGAGAGAGACTTCCTAAGTCTTCTTTTATTAATTTTAACTTTTTCGTCCCTTTGATGTAGCTTTTAGGTAAGGCTTTTAAATAGAATCAAGCAACAAATGTGCTTTTTTACTGATTAAATCTTTTTGCAAAGTAATGGAACTTTGCTTACTTTTAAGTGGAAATAAGGTTGGCAGAGGTATAATTTCATGTGAATMCCAACTTAGAAGAAAAAAAAACCCAGACTTTATGCCTTTGTCCCATTCTCACTATCACTTATATGGAAAGGGATCGAACATGTTATTATTTGAACTAGTGCTAACCCTGTAGTTGGACAAGTATTACCACTCTGGTCAGTTTTTGTCATAACTAATTTTAAAATGGTCTTTTGCAGATGTATTTTATAGTCTTTCATAGCTGCATCCTGTGTTGCATCTTAGCATTACAAAATAATGGAAATGAAAAATTGAAAATTATTTAACTTAAGGAAAAAAAACAAACTTCAGTGCCCACGGAGACAAATCCCCAGTGTAACAGCTTACAAGACAAGGTATTCAGTAAAGTCGTACAGTGTAATAAACCACATATTGTCACCTAGCTGGCAAAAGAAAGCCACAAAGAAAGAGGAGGATTTGGGACTGAGACCTTACTGAAACTTAAAATCAGTGACCCTAATGTTTCTGTATCCAGAGGAGCAAACGACCCTTGGTCTCAAGGGTTTGATCCCAAAAGCACTGGCAAGAGAAAGTTCCTGCAAGGTCTCCCAATATCATTAATATGGCACCTTGAAGGGTCACTTCYCATCCTGCCTGGTAGCAAACTGATAGAGATCTGTGCCCAGGTGCTGCAGGAAAAGAGCTGTATACAATGGTGACCCAGTTAATAGGTAGGTGTTGAAAAGGCGAGGAGGGTAAAGGGAAAATGTTTTAGTCATGTCTTCACCTATCAGTTCCCTTGATGATACTGGTGAGTTGATTTTGGCCAACCTATATGGATTTCCTTGAAGTGGATAATACATGACTTTTATCATGGCAATACTCCATTCCTTTATGTATAAAGTCACCATCACAAAATTGTCCCTGATATTTCCTCATTTATTTTTTGCCCACAGTTGGTACTTCTAGCCGTGACTTGCTATACCAAGTAATTCCTTTCTGTGTTTTGGCCTTTTAATTTTCTGATTGTGTCTTTGTTGTTCTCTGTATACTGGTGTGCAAACTTACTGTCTTTAATTAGCCAAATTTCACACACAAAGGAAGTTTGTCAAATGTATCATTATGGAGAGTTTATCCCCGTTTTTTGATCAGCTTTCTCGGACTACATGAATCACTCCAGTAAAGTAAACCTGCAAGAATRGGCAGATTCTGCTTCAAGGGGACATCTGCTAAGACATTTTTCTAAGCAGAACTGGGCTTTTCAACTAACCTTTCAATATTGAAGGGTTTTCTTCAAGAGTTATCCAAGTGACAGACTTACCTTTTCTCACTGAATATGTAGGCAAATAGGATGATTTSCACAAGAACATACACAGTCAGTTCTTTTCACTTTTTTATAACTTGATTTTTATTTAAACACCTCCAAAGCATTATGTTAATGTACATTTTCTCCTGGTCATGAATAACAAGTATTTCTAAATCTCAAATAAGATCCCTGTACAGTTTCTGTTTGTAATTATATTTTGACTCTGTTTTTTACATGTTCAGCTGCGGAGCCTAATAGTATTGACATTTCATTTTGAACGATGCTGCACAGAAGTGTAACACATATTTGCAGCTTTCACATAAACAATAGTTTAAATGGATCTTCCTGTGTTTATTTGGAAGCATATTTCCACAAGATTTCACATGGAATGTTTTAGTTGAGTTAAGAGTCTCCATAAAGTTGTTTAGTGCTAAATCCTTGGCTTTTTTCTTGAAAAAAAAATGCTGCATAAAAAAATAGTTTACAACATAAATTCTAGGTTATTTCATATTCTAGAATGCATTAAAAGCATAAAGTCATGTGTATTTCAGGGAACACAATATTTACAAATCTGTACATTTTCTGTTGATGTATATTTACTGTAGCTCTAGTCAAGCAATTAGATTCAACTCTTACCACTCTAAGATCAAACACTCCAAGATAAGGTATAGGTGTCATTTAAAAATACTTTATTTTCCTTACCGGCCTTAAGATTGATGAGTATACGATGGGCCAAATTCTGCACTCCATTTCATAAAGTCTGTTTTCCATGGAGTCAGAGGTAATTATCACTGTGACCTCAGGCAGAATGAGAAAGAATGTGAACTCCGTTGAGTCACTTTTTCTTACTCCAATATTTTGAACTGCTGAACTACTTAAGTATTTTGGCTAAGACTGTGCAGTAGAGGTGGCAGATTAATTCATTTCTGACTTGCAGATTATTCACAGTTGCCAGTTTTTCTCTTGTTCATTCTCAAAGGTAAGGGAGAAAACTTGATATCGAATGCACCAGAATTATTAGAAAGGCTTCTAGCAAAATCCTTCCTCTCTCTTCCTGTTTATGCTTAAAAATTGTGTGAAATGGAATGGAGTTGAGAAAACCCCTATATTTTTACATTAATGCTGAGTCTAAAAGTCAAGTGTTYGCATTTTATCAGATGGATATGATTTCTCTCTTTCCCAGGTTTGATTTATCTTTAAAACCTCAGCAAGCAGCTTTCTAACTGGATACTCATCTTCCATAGCCAGTCTTAGCCCCACCACTTCAACAGATGAAAGAACAGRAGGGTGAAAATTGGTCATTGGTTCATATGGCAGAAATACTTTATATGGCTTCAGTTGTCCAAAGGTGCTTACTGGCTGTGAGTTGAAATTCAGCATCTTGATCAACTGGTATTAAGAGGGAGCACTTATGTTCAGAAAAGCAACTGACATCAGATAGGGTTGCAAAGTGCTTCATCATTGTCTGGCTCTTTAATATGAAGTTATTCATCATCATACCTGAGCTCAAGTGTATTCTTACTCCTCTCTTGTTAATATTAAAAGAAGGATGGCATTTCTACAGTACTCTCAATTCAAGGGAGACATCATGACTTCTATAAAAAGATTAGTATAAGAATGGCACTTCCTTGCTAAGGCTAAAATAACACCTTACAGAAAAATACCATAGTGACCCAACATTTTTGGGTTGTTAATTTTACAATGTTGAAAAAAAGTACCTTAGTAATCATTGCAAATCCTACCCATTAGAGTATGGCAACAAATAGTTTTTCCTTGTAAGACGCATCAGGTAATAATTTGTTACTGTGGTTTATCCTGACCAGTTTGGTTATTTCTTAAAGAAGGAACAAACAGCAAATATGTGGTTGCTCCAAAAACATCCTTTTCCTGTCCTTCCCTCCTTTTTTTCCCCTCTTTCTTTTCCTGTTCCACTAAGAATAGACCAAACAGGCCTGACTAGCCCCGCCATTAGGCCGTAACCAGATAACACAGAAATTAATCAATTAATTTATTATTAATAGGAGCAAAATGTAAAAGCAGAACAAACTGTAGATGTGCTACTAAGCACACTGTGTCCTGCTGTTGTTTCCAAAAGACTCTCGTGACAAAAACGTACAGATTCTTTAGCTCTGAAAGGTCAGATATGCTAAACTGTGATTTCAAAAAGCTGAAATCTCTTCTGTCTTCTGTGTTCTTTTAGGTTGTTTTTTCTGCTTTCTTCACTGCTGGATTTTAGTATCCATGAGTCATGTGATCTTTTTAGTGTCAATATATATAATTTTTTCTCTGATTTCCAACCTCTCTCCCAAACACTCCGATTTAGACTTTCTGCATTTCAATATGTTGTTGGTGGTAGTGGTGGTAGCAATGATGTCTGGGTTGACACCTTCCATTCAGTTTATAAACAGAATTTTTTTGCTGACGTTTTTTGAAAAACCACACAGCCAGTACAGCTGCGGCCAGTAACAAGCACAGAAGAATCACAATGACTGCTATGATAGCACCTTTACTTGACTTGGGACAGTCCTCTCCCTCACATGGTTCGGAAGTGGGGAAAAGCTGTTCCTCAAGGCCTTGGGTGAGATTTTCATGCTCAGCCAACTCTTGGGATGATGTGTGAGTAATGATGTCTGGAGTTGGTGCAGTGGTTGCTACTTGAGCTGGGTAAAGCGTTGTTTCTTTTGATTCTGAATGCAGAGTGTGATCGAAAGGGCTGACTACCACAGAGGTTTCTGACACAGATGTCTTCAGGCTAGTGACATCAAAAAGCACTGTTGTAACAGGCTCCTGAGTTGTGAGTTCCAGAGACGTAGTTGTGTGGTCCCCCAAAGTGTCCTCATAACCTCTGCTCACACTTAGGTTCTCCAGAACACTCACTGATGTGAATGCTACTGGTGTCTCTTTGACCTCATCATCTGTCCTTGCTGTCACTGTCGCTATTTCTGTTAAACCTTCCTCTGGAGTTGGGCTACCATTGCCTGATTTTCTAACTTCAACATGATTTGGTTGGTCTGTTGTGAGAATGAGGTCTTCTTCTGTACCCATTGATCCATCAACTTTATCCCCCTCCTCTTCATCATCTTCTACCACTTCTTGCGTTACTGGATAACCGTCTAACCATGACTCGTCAGTAATGGCAACTGTATCTATCTCTGCCTTTGTATCATTTGTTGTGAGAATGGGCCCAATGGGGAAATCCTCAGTGTCATAAAACATTTTGGCACTAGGTTCATTATACACTGTCTTCACCCCAATGTGGTTATCACCTTCAGAAAAATGTACTTTTGTGGAATCATCTGTTTCTTTCTGTGATTCAGGCTCACTAAAAGCCTCTGATGGAAACCAAAACAAGTTCTTTTGGCTTAGGAGTGAGACTGGAGATTCAGTTGGTGCCTTGCTTCCTTTTTCAGGAGTATCTATTACCTTAGTAATTACCTTAGTAATATCTTTGATTCCTCCAGTTCTTCTATCCTCCATACTTTTAGTGAAGGAAAGTTGATCTTGTTCCTGCTCAATTTCCTCTTTGCCATTGCCATGTTTGCTCTCAACAATAGGTATTGATCTGTCATCTGGAAAATTATCTTCATAGTCAATGTGTGTCTCAGTTTCATCTAGAAAAAAAGTAAAACAACAAAATCAAATATTCAATTTCACAAAAAAAAAAAAAAAAAAGCTGTTAGGCTCTTTTTTTTTTTTTTTTTTTGATAGCTAAGACAAAATGTATACCGATTTGCAGACATTACTTTTCATGAAGTGTTATTTTTTAAAAAAATGAAGATGGTCCACCATGAGCTTGATAGGCAGAGCTTGATAGGCAATATCAAATTTTTAAAAATGAGGGTAGGTTACTGCTAATATCTTGTCTTTCTACATGTTTTTTAAAAGAAGTACATATTCTACTGTCAGGAAGTAAGGGTTTCTTTCAGTTCCTTATTATTTTCTCAAATATTTACTCTCCCTAAGGCGAGTATTTTTTCCAGACTTGAGGGGAAAAAAAAAGATCATTTTCAAGCAGGAAAGATGTGTGGAAAGGAATGTGTAAAAATTAACAAAAAAAAACTAATAAAATAACTTCATCCCTGGAACGTAATTGTCTTTGAGACTTTTGAGTTGTCTTATATTCAAAACTGTGTGTTCACTTGTTATCATTACAGTATTTTCTTAAATGAACTTGATGTTGCAATGATACTCCACCTAGYGACATGTGAATTGAACAGTATTTCTTATCTCATAAGCAACTTTTTCAGGTTGCCCAAGGAAAAAGCCCTGACCAAAGCTGACATAGAGTTCTACATATCTTCATCTGAACAATGAAGATTTATTTCCTGTGACTATAAAGGTTGAAAACTCTGTCTTCAAACACCTAAAAACTATAAAGACTAACGCTTAGGTATCAAGATAATGTCCACTGTAATCAATACTTGGGCTTCTTTTAAGATATGAAATGTTACCAAAATAATCAAGTGAAAAACAGAGAAAAAAGAAGTGTGCAACATATGGGCAGATTCATCACATTATCTGTTTGAATTAGAAGTAGTCCCCATGCCTCTCCAGACCTACCATTCATAGCAAAATATCCTTGACGCAGAGGGCAAAAGTAAGTATATAATATTGAATTGTCATGCATTGTAATTCATACTTTTCCCTTCTTTTTAAGCCTTAGCCCAATGAAGAGAATTTTTCAAACTAGACAGAGCAGTTGATTTTTAGCTCGCACAAGTTTTACTTCACAGAAAGTTGATGTAATTAATTGATGAGATTTATGCTGGCATAAAAAGTCCTWGAATATAGTGCCTTAGGATATGGAAAATAAAACAAACTGAATCATGGTGAGAATTTTTCTTTTTAAGAGAGTGTTTAGTCTTTAGTGAAGACAGTGAAGCAATAAATCTAGCTTGGCATGGGGAACAAGAAATTAACAGGAGCAGCCATATAGCAAATGAATACATTCAGAAACCCTTATCTTTTTGTCTGTTTACACTCCACTAAATTGGAATCACATTTTCATCTGGGGCCCACCTCCAAATCCGAATGAGTCACATTCTCCTTGGAGGCTCTGTTCTAGGATCCTGTTCTGGCACAGCCATTTTTGGTCTACTCTTAAAAAGGACTAGAAACACTCTTATCAAAAAACACTTAGTGGTGATAGGGTTCACACCACTTTTTTTTTCTTTTTTTTTTTTTTCCTGTGACATAACAGCTTAATTTGGGGCCTAGAAGATTAATTTGGGGCCTAGAGCAGAATATTAGCAAAAGGTATTTTTCTTGGAGTAGCGTCTGAATCTACCATTAACTGAAGTAGTTATGCTGATGAAACTGAAATGTAGGACATATCCTGTGGAGAATTAATATCTATGTTAAAATTATGCTGAAGAAATGGCTGATCTAAGCAGCTCCACTCTCATATGAGAGTAAGGGTGTACAATGAAAACTGTACAGCAATGCTAACAAGATCTYGATCTCTCTCCTGGTCTCTCCTGTTCTCTCTCTCTCCTGGCCCTGGCCTTCTCCTCTCATTAAGTAAATCCCTGTATGTTCTTTGTCCTCTTCAAAGCAAGGAAGAAAAAACAAAATGAAACTCTTCCATCTTGTACAAATGGGATTTAACAGATTATGGAATCCAGTTCTTGGAGTGGCAAGAYTTGTGGTAGGACCCCTACTTTTCTAATTGATCTGAAAATCTCCTCCAACAGTTWTCCAGATAAATATTAAAGAGCAGAGAGTATCTCAGAGTACAAGATCATTTTAGCAACATTTTTATGAAACTCGATGTGCAAATGGTCATTGCTATGTAGCATTTGTAACAGCCATCTAGTCTCACTTCGTTTCCCTTTTCCACTCTCACTAAAGAAATTTCCTACTTGATGCTTTTTTTTGAACGGAAGCAGTGCCTTAAGCTACCTTGTCCTCCGATTATTCAGATTCCTTCTAAAAGTTMGTATCTGACATGCCTGTTTCACTACAACACACTATCTGCAAAGGTAGTCTATAACTGGGTATTGAATATGTATGAAGTGTAACATGATAACATAAGAACTCACTATTTACCAAATCTGATATCCATTGTTTTCTTTTTTTGAGAGGAATAATCAGCTCAGTCTGTCTTCACCTGTATGTCTTTTGTACCTCTAACKATTTTTGTAATTCATTTATCTTTCAGATACAGGATGAAATACTAAATTTCACATTATGGTGTTCTTGTGCATCTACACACATCATTGCAGAATAATTATATTGTAAGCCTGTGGTATTTCTTTCCCATCTATTCTTCAGAAAGTAAGAGGAAGAGCCAGCCAGTATTCATATTATTGACCCTAATGGTTTATTAGTCATTGCTTAACAACTGTAATAATATGTGTTTTATAAAATTTGAAGTTATTCTCTTTTTTGTATTCTTCTTGCAGTGTATTTTTAGTCTTTTTGAAGAAAGCCTGATACAGACACATCAAGAAACAGCATGTGCTCCTGGGAAAATACAAGTCCTCAGTCTATCAGAAAATGCTTGAGTTTGTTGAACTATCAATCAGGTTTCCCAAACTCACTGTCTGTGGACCCAATCCTATATGGATAGGAATGAATTGGTGTTTTCTTTAAACTCRTTTGAGGAAAGAAAAAGTCCATTGTGGATGAAAGAGAGCCTGAGGTTGGAGTTCATTATGCCCTACTTGTCACTGCATAAGGGAGTCTTGTTCCCTTTGACAATCAGATTGTAGCCTAAGTTGTAAAGCTGCTATAATGTATTTTCATATGCAAGCACCTCTATTTGTACAGTTTTTAGCAAAGACTATCAACATAACTAATGTTAGCTTATGGGACGCCAGAATGAAAGCAACTATTGAGCTTTCTAACCATCAAAGGAAAAACAGACCCCTTTCTCAGAAGCTTTGATTTATATGATCCTGAATCGACTTACACAGTAATAATAGCCCATTCTTTCTTCTGGGCCTCAGACCTTCCAATGGCACTTAGACTTAGTATTTAGTGAGGTTGTGTTACCATGACTACCTTTCAAATCAGCTGTAAGCTTGATTTTCCAGTATCAGATTGCGTGAGTTTTACACTTCTTTTTGCTCACCACCTCAGCATGTCCTTGAGCTTTCCAAGTCTCTTGAGATTTTGTCTCAGAACTGAAGACAGCAGCAACCAGAACAATCAAGATATAGCTCGACCTCTTATCTAAACAGCTATAATATTTATTTTCRCTCTTTTTAAAACCAGATTGCAATTGATTTAAAAGTGGTTGCATCTTCCTTCCTAGCCAGGCAGGTCTGGTTTTAGGAGTAGCGCACACTGCAAGTCCTTGGTCCAAGATGAAATCTTTCTATTTTCAGCTACTGCTCTGTCTTATCTATGCCCTCGTCTGACAGACTAAAGGATCAGTGAGTACTGATTCACTATCTGATGGATTACTGAGGCTAAAATAAACATTTTACAGCAACAGATGCTGAAATAGMATACTATAAAAGATGTGAAGTTCTATTTCCATTGGTAAAATCCTTTTAATTTAGCCTTATCCTCTCCAGGAAGCACCCAATCTTAAACTGCCTTCAAGTCCTTGAATTTTTGATCCTAATTTGAAATTATTGACCCAGAATAGAGATAGATGAAAACAAAGAGTCTTGTTTTCCAGTCTCCAGCATCAGTTTAATTCTTCTACTTGATAATATATTAGCATCTGAGTTCTGTTTTGAGTGCCACTATTTTGGACAACCATGAAGTGTACTGCATATTTTGTTGAGGTATATTTGGAGTACAGGAAATTGAAACTTGATTCTCTGTAGGCCATCAAAATAAACATTTCCAGTGCAAAAAAAACCACATTTTTTAAGAACATCTAAGCAGTTACATTAAAAATTAACAAGTTGACACATGTCTCTAAATATGTGGAGGATATGGTACATTTAGACTTACCTGCCTAAATTCAGTGAAATCTGTGTACTACTGCCTCTTTCAGATCTACTCATTTGAACCGGATTAGGTATATACACACAATCATGTTTCTATCACACCAACCAGAGTATGCTACTGAGAATTTATGTTGCTGGTGTATACTAGCTACAAGATGTCTCATTCTTGTAGGAAACCCATTGTAATTTTTCTAACTAATCTGATTTGTCAGAATCAGTTCAAGCTAGATTGATACTTTACATTAATCATACAGCTAAGTGACAGAGCTGAGAAAAGAATCAAAGCTTGACTTTTTTTTTTTTTTTAATAGACCATAGATATATTTTGCAGCTTATTTTACTTGTCTGTCACAACTCTCCCTTTCCACTTGCAAATAATTAATTAAATAAATAAAAACAAAAAGCAAATATGAATAAAATCTACATTTTCTTTTATCTTTCACATTAAAAAATAAAATAATAACTGATGTTGGCTTCTCATGCTTACAGACCACTTGAATGTGAAACAATTGTATTCTTAAAAATTCAGCAGAACTGTGTGTAATGAGGCACAAAGACTGAGGGCTGCAGATGAAGCTTTCAGAGGTGTTCAGTGTCAGCTGAATCACCCTTACATTGAAGTCAAAAGATCTCCAGCCAGACCAGCACTGAATACATTAGAAAGGTGMCCAAGTACTCACACAGCGTAGAACGCTTAGATGTGC